ATTGGATATACTTGCTATAGCTGCTACACTGTCTGTATGTATCTTAATTTTGCTTTTACTTGGTACTATAAGAATTATATACCAAATTGCCAACAGTTTAGCTTTGGTTAAGGAAGGCCATCCTTTTGCTCCAATAGCACCTTTGTTAATTGCATATTCTTTTTTACTATCCACTTGCAACCACTTTGCTTCTATTCGATCTTGGTCTTGATCCTCTTTTTTCTCTTTTACTAATGATCTGTCTGTATAAAAGATCAGTTCTTTTTGACTATTGTTCTCCTAAATATACTTGTGTTTTTCCATAAATAAGTTGACGAGTTTGTTACTAATTCTTTGATTTTTGATTATCTCAACATCTATGTTTTCTATTATAATTTCTTTTACATGTCTTTTTGTGTCTAGTGAATAATTGAATTAAGATATCTATAATTATAATTATATTAATATAACTAACAGTTTATAAGAATCTATATAACTAGTTATACAAAAAAATATAAATTAATATAGATAATGCAAACTCTAAATAAGTTCTTATAATTATATAAATTTATAAAAATTAAAAAACAAAAAACTTATTTGAAAAAACTTAAATAAAAAAATAATACAAATCTTCAATAACATTATTATAAAAACAAATCTAGAAAACAATTATTAATATAAAATATCTAAATAAATAAAAATCTTTAAATAGAAGATATCATTAACTAGTCTTTTAAATTTTAATTAAAAAAGTTAAAAAAAGTCAAACTAACCTAATATGTTAATAAACTAATCATAATTCTATATATGTTATCTAAATTAAAAATTTTTAAAAAATAGTAATATTGGCCTTACCATTAATATTAAAAAAAAAAAAATAGTAATATATCAAAATACTAGAAATATGTTATAAAATAAGTACTGAGGTTTAAATAAACTCTATAAAAACACAATAGTTTAAGGTTACTACTAATTATAAATATTGATTTAATCATAATAATATTTAGATTATTTGTAAAATAAATATATAATAAACTCTATCTCAAAGATAAAAATGTTCTAAAATTTAAACAAGAACCCAAGCTTAACTTGATAAAACTAACACAAAACAAATTCAAAAAATTTAAAATAAAACATACAAGTAGAAATGTTAGATATAGCAATTGATAAAAATATTAAACAGATTTCTTAAATAGATAATATAAAAAATTATACAAGTGACCAATTATACACTTTTTCTGTAGTAACTTCTTACAAAACTACATTTTCAAAAATTTGTTAATAAAATTAAAAGATCTAAAAGATCACCTTAATATCAAATAATAATAATAATAATATTTGTGTCTTGAAAAACATAAAACTTATAGAAGATAATGATTCTAGTATAGTGATTAGATTGTCATCCTCTAAATGACAGGTTTAAGGTTCGAATTCTATTTATAACAATATTTAAAAATTACATTTGTATTATAGTAACTGTTTCCTATCAATCAGTTAACCTTATGTGACTGTAACCTAGATATACCAAGTTAGATCCTATCGATATTAAGAACTCAGAACATCTATATAAAGTGTAATGTTATATGTACATAAAGAAATATATAACCAGTGTTATATAAGACTTCAGTGCAAACCTATAATAAGACTATCAGATATAGAAGACTAAGAAACTAAAACAATAGAAACCCATTTAAAAATTCCAAAATAAAGAGGTAACATGAACTTTTGATAATACTATTAAATCAGTTGAAGGCTATGAAACACTTTTATAAAAACTGAAAGTTAAACTAAATATTAAATATATGTAGAGAAACATATAACTAACTAGACTACTAGATTTGCTAGAAGAAAAGGATACAAAAGTATACCATACTAGGTTATCTAAATTGATAGTCTGAAAAAAACTATTGTTTCCAAGTTGTGACTAATAGAAGATAATAGAGAAAATATCAAAAAGATAGGTACTGAGGTTTTAGTAAACTTTACAAAAATAGAAATAATTTAATACAACAGTTAAACAAATAACTCCTATAACTATAAGTATTATATAACTATAATGTGTTGCATAAAACTAGATCTATATATGTGGAACATAAAGACTCTAATAAGTTTCCTGTCAAAGATAAAATAATCCTAAGAATAATGATCAACATCAGAAACTTAGATGGGTGTAACCTTGAGATGTTCTCATGATACAAGGAGGATTGCATATGCAAAAGGTTTAAATAAGCAAGACCCTTAGTTGACTTGTAAATATGACAACTAGTGTAAAACTTATATAGCAATGTATAAGCGGACTACTTAAACTAGGCACCAAAAGTGCACGTGTGGCTAGTTGTAACCTCCAATGTATAGATAACCCCTGGAAGCATGCCGTGTCCTATAATACTTGAATAAAAATGTCACATCCCCAAGACAGGGACTTTAACTATAAAAAAAAAAAACATGAAACTTAAATTTATCACTATAATAAAATTGTATACTGTTTGAACATTTGTTTTTGATAGGTAATTTAAGTAAAATCTGAACGCGAAAAGTTACCTTAAAAAAAAAAGAAGATATACAAATTGCTAATTTCGATTGGTTTCAAATGTCGAGTATTGGGATATTCCCGTGATCGATGATGATTGGTCATGCGTGCACTGCAAGCTGCTGGATAAATAGATGTACCCATACACATTTTCGATTTGCTCCTATCTTTACACGTACATTTGAAATTTATTTGTTTTTTACATATAAGTTAGTAATTCTTATTTAGCACAACAATCTAAAATATTGTTCTGCAAGTGCAAAGTTACTAAACCGAAAAAAAAAACCAGAAAACCTGGTATAAATTTTGTTTAAAAACTACTATTTTTTATTAATTTCAATACCTTTCGTTCATTTTTGCTCATTTCAATTAGAAACCCATTAACAAATTACAGCAGAGACCGTTAATGTTACACATATATTAAAACTGGCGAGGGATTATATCCATCACAATTGAATCCAACATAAATAATTTAATTTGTGATTGATCACAGGCGAGAGGGATTCACTTTGGATTGGGCACTGTCTCTGCTGTATTAACAAATCGCGATTGCAAGTAGATTCAAGAGAGATAACAAACTTTGAAGGTTATACTTGAAGTGGGGCCTATATTATTTTATTAGCAAGAATTAAACTGTAATCTAACTATACATTCATCTTTATTAATATCCCATGTAAAAAAAATAGAGAAATCACTTGATCAATTATCTGTTTTATATGGGGTAGTGGCAGTTGGACATAATCACGTTGATAATTTGTTTGAAGAGGAGTAGTACAAATTCGATCACCTAATATATCTACACATTATCCTATTAATTAGAATGTATTATATAACCCAAACATTAAAATATCAAAAAAAAAATATAAATAAAAAAACTAACCCGGATGGACATTAAAATTTGATATAATTTCATTATTGACTCTGGGTTCCTAACGGTTTTTGGAATAACTAACGAATCTACTTCTGCCAATATATATATATACCTGGTGACAAAAGGTCTAAAATGCATACACTCATTTTAAATCCGACGATGAAAATGATGATTCTCTTTGCTTCATCCGGACATATTTCGTTTTGTCTTATATCCTGGTCTATTTCGTCTTTTGCGTTTATTACTCCTCGGTAGATATCCCAATATATTTTTGGCTCATCATTTCTACGTTTGGGGCTCGTTATCTCAGCAAGTACACCCGTGCGTGTACCATCTTTATTATTTAATTTATAGTCAGGGCATCGGCCGTACCCTCGGCGTAATTTGGAAGCTTTTGATTCTACATCTATCCTATAAAAACAAGTAATTGTGAATTAATTTACTTTTAAAAAATTGGAGAAATTATATCAAAAAAATCACTATAACTTCGGTTTTTTGTTGAAAATAAAAAATGGATGATGCACCAAGTATATTATGAATATTTTGCTTAGACGGATAACCAATTCCATTAGACAATTGTTGAAGAGTATGTTGTTGCCATTTAAGTAACTTGATATCCAAACCTTAACTGCTTTTAATAGTTTCCGAAATCATCTCTTGCAAAGATAATAATTGAGAGGATTCGAAAGATAACGGGAATCCTTTCTGCATGTAATATATATTATAAGCTCGTCCTTTGTTATATATCACTTAAAAATTTTCATACCTCATCATCTTCACCCTCAATATTTTGTTCTACATACGGTAGTCTTTGCTGAATGAATGACGTTAGTTAGTTGCAACGCTCGTGAATACAAATACAGAAAATTTAAAACATTATTTCATTACCTTTTTTGTTTGTAAATTCTTTTGGCCCAGGGCATTACTAATTACTTTTCTCTTCGAAATAATTCTTGGACATTTCCAGAAACTGTTGAATTATTGATGCTAATTGAGGGGTTACCACTACCATTCATATGTCCATTATTCAAGTTCCGTGCTTTTTGACGATCGGGCCGATTATTCTAAACAAGAAACGTGGTTGGTTAACAATATTCTTAATTAATCCTCCACGTTACATTTATTTCATTTCTATCCCACCGGGTCAGCCTCTAGCCTTGAACGTAAGACAACCCTCTAGATTGCCCCCGCCCCAGTGGGGTTAATGCTAGATCGACCTTTAGTCTTGAACGTAAGACAACCCTCTAGATTGCCCCCGCCCTAACACTAACTTCGTAGCTTGCCCTCTAGACTTGAATGTACGAAACCCTCTAGATCTCGCACACGTTACCAAACTTTTTCTCTATATATTTTTTAACCAAGAAAAAGCACATTCACCTCTCTATATTTTAGAAGCAACTCTTTTGCTCGTTTACTCCTTTGTCCTTCTTCGTTATCGGCGATGACCTCAAGTGATCTAAGGTAAATACCTAATTTTTCACTTAAATCATTGTCTTCATATTCCTCTAAAAAATCTTTTATATCCCACCTAGAGCAACTTCGATTAAAATATTCAGGCATCTATTTTTTATAAATCAATAATGTTTGACCCGTAATAAATTATTCCTGTCATATTCGACTTACAATAAACTTGGACATAGTTATTCGAAAGAAAAGCGTATGCGTCTGATTAGGGTGTTCATCAAATCGGTAAACCAAATAGTAAAACCAAGGTTTTTATATTGCCACACCCCTGTTTATAAACATCAATATAGATTATTAGGGGTTTGGTAGGTTTAGAGTTAGTAGGGGTGTGGTAATATCAAAAAAAATTAGGGATGTTATCCTGTTTTAGCTGGTTAATTTGTGCTTAAAAACTTGGTGGAACACTGTTTCAAACCATATATGTGAAACTGGTTATTGAACTCAGTTTATACAAATATACTAATAATTATGTTTGTTTAAACAAGTTAATAAAACCTGCTTTGTTATTTTATTTATAGAATATTCTATATATAAAAACAATTGATGCAATAATAAGGCATAAGTCTAATATTAGCTCAGAACTTTATATCTATTTATTATAGTTATAAAAAAATTGGTTTGTTATTGTTCATGTTTATGCAAATATATGAAGTTTACAATCGTAAATATATATAAGCATTTATAATATTTGGTATGCATATCACTATTACTTATTATGTATTATTATTGATCTATAATAATATCTAATTAATTACTTTTTCACAGTTAATAATACCTAATTTATATTATGTTTTTAAGCAAAGGCTTGCATAAATATTTTCTTCAGATAATTGATTATAAATTGAATTAATTGTATTTTTAGTTTTGAAAAACATTTCTTTGCTAGGTACAAAAGTTACTTGTACAACTAAATAGTTATATGAGATCTCATACTGTATTTTAAGATCTACAGCCTAACTTTCAAATTATAATTATAAACTCTTTTTTCTTAAAGGCCTGAGGACTGTTTGCTATTCTGTTTTGGTTGCATTCATGCAAGTCTAAAATAGTATACATCAGTTAATCATATTTTCCAAAAGTTCAAAGATTATAATATTTCTCAATAGTTATAAAATATTCTTCAAGAACATTTGAAATAGTATTTAATTTTTTATTATAATGTTTCCTAAAATAATTTCTTGAAGAATCATTATTATCTTCAGCAATAGATATGTTAAATTCTTTATATTCTTTATAAATGCTATATAGTAATTTATGTATAGTTATAGTTGTTTTATTATCAAATGATAATAATTTTATATTTAGGTCTAATACAACTAATATACTGCAACAAGTTTGAAGAATAGACTAATAATTAGCAAGTTTCTTGTATATATATTATGCAATTTGATTTTTTATTAAAATGTCACAATATAATACATTGTACAAAATATCTAAAATAGTTAGAAATATTATATACAAATCTTTTATTATTGGATGGATTAATAATAATAAAACTAGGATCATTATTGCTATTAGTTCAAGTAGAATAACAATAACCTAAAGATAATAAATTAATTTTAAACTTTTTTTTTTGGTATTAAGGTGAAACCTTACTTATATCTTTATTAATAATTTAAAATAGTAACATGTATATATGCTATGACTAAAATCAATACTTGCAGTTAAGGCTAATTATTAAACTGCTAACTATACAGCTACTACTATTTGTACAAAACAAATAAATTACAAATTACATATAAGAATAAAAGCTCAAACTAATTTATCTGCAATCTAAACCTATTAGAGTGGTTAAAGCTCACTTAGGTTTGAATATTTAATATATAATTTAATAATATGCTATATTTGATTTATAGAATAAACCAAATATTGATTTTGTGAATTACTTGGCTAATAGGAGGGCATATATTAGAGTGAGTATGTAGTTGATCTGAAAGTCTGCAGAGGCATGAGTAAATATAGTTTTTATGAAAATATATATGCCTAGTTACTAAGTTAGGTAATATTAAAGATTTGTTGATTAGTTGAGATTGAGATTTATTTTGTTGATTTTTCTAGTTTGAAAAATAAATGCAATATATTTTCTATAATTGTTCATATGATTGTTCATTAATATTAAGAAGAATATCAATAATAACTTGGAAGGCAGTTTTGTATAATATGTTGGAATTTTGAACTATTGATATAAGTAATTTTAGAATAAGTTCTTTGAGAGTAAGGTTAGGATAAAATGTATTAAATAAGATATATAAGGAGTTGAAAGCTGGATAATAAAGGATTTTATGAATTAGATAATTTTTTTGGTAAATATTAAGATCAGATAATTTGCTAGAGATAATTTAATTAGTAAATGTTTGAATAATTTAGTTAAGCAAAATGTATTAGTACAAATATGTCAATGAGAGTGAAAGTTAACTAGATTACAGTAGAAGAAATTAGTATCTAAATATTGGTTTAGGTAAATAGTATGAAATAGTTGGTATGTTGGTAACTCATTAAGAAGGATTTTGATTTTAAAAGATTTTAGTTAATTGAGTCTAAAATTACTAATATTGTGTAAGAGTTTTTGATTATAATTAAAATAGAATCAAGTGGATCTTTAGTCAATATTCTAATTGAAATATGACTACTCACTATTATGTTTTTGAGATGTCTATATAACTAATATGTGGGCTTTATATATTTATTTAATAAAATATCTTGTAGAAAGTTCTATATAATGCTGCTCTTATTGAAGAATATGATAAGAATTATAAAGATTTGTGTAATTAAATAAAAGAAATAGTAATAATGGATGTTGTTTGGCAAGAGAGTCTGCTTGCTCATTAAGATTATTATTTGAGTGGGCATATATTTTATAAAAAATAATTTGTAATTTGTGTGATTTAATAATATTAGAAAGAATGTGCCAAATAGGCTATAAGCTGAATTTGAATAGCTTATTAGGATGATTTGAGTAAAGTTGAAAGTTATTAAATTTGAAAATTACTGATTGAGAATCAGTAAAGATATTGATTACTGAATTACATGAAACTGTTGAAATTGCAGTAATAATTGAGAAAAACTCAGCTCTATATAATAAGATTCAGAATTGTATTTTAGCAGAAAAAAGTTAATAGTTTGATTATTGTTATCAATTTGAATCTAACTAATATTCATTGTGCATTGGTCAGTATCAATGTTGATTACTGAGCCATTGGTATAAAAGAATAGTTGTTGGTAAGAGTAGTTATATTGAGAGATAGATATAAGTTTGTTGATAGTTTTACTTAGAATAAAGATTTCAAAGACAATTGAATTAGAAATAGGAATTATAGATAAAAGAGAAATACAGGTTGAATGCTTGATAGCTGTAGAGCAGATAAGGTTCAAGTAATTTGCATTAAGATTGAGTTGGTATTTGGAATTAGTTCTGCCAAAAAATTGTATTGAAATAACTGCAAAAACTTCAACAGTACAAGTTTGGTTAATTCTGTGAGATTTAAGATAGCATTTTGTACATCATTTGTATTCAGCAGAGAATAAAGGATAGAATTTAAATCTATATTGAAAGTCCAGTGAATAATGGAGTAATGGTTAGATAAGGAAAAGTATTTTTATATTTTTTCATTATAATTTCTTTATTGTGATATAAAAGTAATCAAAGTTTAGATTTTGTAAGTTTTTTAGATATATTAATAGTGTAATAAATATAAGAGTTATGACCAGGTGATTGGTAGTATGGTAGTATATTTCAGTAGTAAGAGTATGCTAAAATTGTGTCTTCTAAGTAGGAAAACCAAAGAGGTTTTCTTCTCTTAGACAAAAATAAAAGTTTAGATGAAAGATGTTTTTAATTTAATAAGATACTGTTGTTAGCTATGTAGAGTTATTCAAAATACATAATATTAGATTGTCTAAGTTGTTTTTTAAAGATTGAGTATTTAAAATGCTAAGATAAGATTGATTCTAGTGACTGGCCTCTGTTACTAATTGTATAAAGCCATATAATATTAGAGTTGGCTGTGATTATTAAGCCAAGATGGATAAAAAGTTAAATGATTTTAAAGTTTAATGAGTAGTTGTTAGAACTATCAATAATTGGTTTAGGATGATATAAAATATTAATAAAAGACCATAAGTTATTTTGTAGTTGTTGAAGTCTAATTTGAGTTGTAATGCCAAGAAGATCAAGGTTGTTGATTCATTGAAGATAGTTAGAGATGTGATGCTGAAATTGAATGTTCTATATATTATAAATATTATATAATTATAGGTTAAGCATTGTGCTATTTAGTATAGATCTGGAAAGATGAAACTTGTGTTTTGCTACAATAAGGTATTTAGATAAAATTTGGTTATATGTAGTGTAAAGAAGAATAGTGTTATGTAGTCAATATTTCAAAGTTAAAATGATTACTGTATTGATAATATAAGTAATTTGTTTGTCAGTAATTTTCTTTGTGCTAGTGATATTGATAAAATTTTAAGCCTCATCTTTTATTAGTTTGATAACTTAGAATTGTTTGTTAAAGTAGTAGAGAAGTTTGTAGCTAGAATAGACTTTGTTGGATTAATTTGAATATTGGCTATTTGATAGAAGAATGTGGCAGTTTTAGTTATTAAATTAAGCTTCTTTTTGGACTTTGCAATCCAGAAAGTGTCATCTATATAAGCTAAAACTGATACAGATGTTTTTAAAGTTTGGGTTTGAGATATATATAAGTTGGTTTTTCAAAATGCAGATAAAGAGTAGCCTGAAAATTGTGAGGCAATTTTATAAATTAGAGAATTGTAATACATTTTTTAGAATAATAAAGTTATAGTTTTTTCTTGATCTATATCATTTTTAATTGAATAAAAGTTGGTAAGACCAAAATTAGATATAACCTGGTTTTGATGATCAGTAAGAAGGTTGGTAAGTATATTAATGGGAGTTTGAGGCATTGATATCTGTTTAAGAGACTTTGTAAAAAGTTCTAAATTAACAGAATCATATGCTTTGCTTATGTCCTAAGACAGAAGCCATAATTGTTTGTTGTTGCAACTAGCATTTTCGATAATATTGTTAAGTATGTGTATAGGAATAAATGTGCTGTTGCCAGGTAAAGCAATAT